CCCCCCCCCCCCCCCCCGGGAAGAAGCTCTGGCTGTATCCGGCTCAGGGCCGAGAGCAGGGCAGAGCCGGTGGGGAGAAGCTTTAGAGAGGCTTTCCAGGTAGGGAGGTCTCTGGAGCAGCAGAAGGTGGAACATAGTCAGGGGAGCTCCCCCTCCCCACAGGTTTTCAAGCCAGGTTTGGACAGCCATTACTCTGCAGCACGGGCATTCTGGTCCCGGGCAGGGGCTGGACTAGAAGACCTTCAAGGTTCCTTCCAATCCTATCATCCTGAGCCAAGCAGGACCGATATCTGGAAAGGGTGGGATCTTGGAGCATGAATGCCAGCCAGCTTTGCTGAGCGCAGCTTGAACCTTTGCCACAGCAGGACCATCTGCAGCACCCCAGGCCTAGAGTAAGAGGGGGGTGCCCCCTGGCAGGGCCTGCAGGTGTGTGTGTGTGGGGGGGGGGCTCAAGCCACACCAGCCAGAGCAGGGAAGAAAGCGCAGGGCAAGCAGGATCGGGGTCAATCTCATGGGGTGTTACCAACCCCCCAGGAGGAGGAGGAGGCTGCCCTGGGTGGAGATCCATTTCATTTGTGGTGGGCAGAAAGGAGCCCACAACGGAACCAGAGAGGGCTGCTTCAGGGACCAGCTGCCTCCTTTAGACCCCCTCCCTTGTCAGCTTTCCTGCCGATCAATTCAGCAGCCAGACCCAGCTGCCCCCCACCTCCAACCGCCTTCTTTCTTGGCAGTGGCACCCATCCTGCTGAAACCCCACAGCCCAGGGAAAAAGTGAAAAGAGAGGAGGGCTACAGGCCTGGATCTGATGTAGAAAAGCAGCCCCAGAATTGGAGAATGCCCCCCATCCAAGCCCCAAGGGTGCAAAGGGGTGCAGCTTGGGGGGGGGCTCCTTATCATAGCAGTGCTGCTCCCCTGCAGATGAGGGCTGGCAAGACTGCAAGGGAGGCTTTGGAACCCAGCTGGAGACGGGCTCTGCCAGCCTGAAAACATGCCCAGCCCTCTGGGATTGGAACTGAAGCCCGGAGGAGGTTTTGGGGGGGGCAGGTGCTGGCATGAAGCCAGAGAGAGAGGGGCCCCCCTGGCCCTTGCTGGCAGGTGCACTCAAGGGAGGAGAGGCCAGAGGGCTCCCCCAGGACAGGCTGACCAGGGCTTAGCTCTGCAGGGGCGGAGTGGGGCAGCTTCCCCCAAACCTGCTGGCTGGTGGGCTGGCAGCGGCTCTTTGGGGCAGGTTCCCTGGCACGTGGCTGGCACAGGGTTCTGGGCCAGCCCTGCAGAAAAGGCTCCCCTCAAAGCCCCCCAGGGCCTGCAGGAGTGGTGGGGAAGGCAGTGTGTGCACGGGGGGGCTTCCCTGAAGCCCGGCTCTTTCCTGCTTTCCCCTGAGAGCGGCTGGGTCCTCAGGTGGGGCACAGGGTCGGGGGCGTCAGGTGGGGGCGACGTTTCCAGGAGAGCGGAAGCCTCTCCCTTCCAGGCTGTACCGAGCAGCAATTCCCGAGATCTCCAGAGATGTTTAAATTACTGGCCATGTCATAAATCAGCGGCAGAAACAAGATGAAGCAAGACTCCTGCCTGTTGCTGAGCTGCAAAAGGCTTCATTTATTTACTGCAGTGGCCAAAAGAGCAGGCAGCTGCCACCGCAGTCAAAAAATTAATCGGCTCCCGGCTTGGCTTGTCTGCCCCCCTCCGTAGCCTCTGGGGAATGAAGTGGTGAGATGCGCTTGGGGGCTCTGCACCAAGACTGCCCCCCCCAAAGGAAGGGGGGGCCTTTGGCGGCCCTGCAGCACAGTGCTGGCAGGGCACCCCTGGAGCTTGGGTCAGACCTCTTATCCCACGGGGCAGCAAGGGGGACTTCGGGGACAGAGAGGATGCCATTGGGCCTTGTCCGCACTGGGGCTGACTTCTGGGGGCTCCTGGTGACATGGCCACAGGGGGCGGGGGGGGGGCTGCTTCACAAGCCCTGCAGCAGACCCTGGTGCCCTTCCTCCATGGGCGGGTTAATACCTGGCTCTCTGTACCCTTTTGACTAGCCATAGGATGAATCTGCCAGCACTGTGGGAGCGGGGCCCAAACGCTGCCCGCTTGGAAGGCACCACTGGGCTCACCAGCAGCTCTCGCAGTGCCCACCGAGCTCCCTGCTCATCGGATGAAAGAGGCATCCATTAATATTACTGGAGCATGGGGGGGGGGCTACCTGAAGCAGAAGGTTGTGCCGAGTGCCAACATGATCAAAAAGGCCACGGGCTGCTCATTGTCCACCCACCTTGAGGAGCACCGGGGGCCCAATAGCAGCCATGGCTGGGGTCAAGGACCTCTTTGTGCTGTGCTGAAATTGGAGATTTCTTCAAGGACGGTCTTAGCCCCAGCAGTGTGTTGGGCATGCATAGATGGTCTTCTTTTGCAGAATTCGAACAGGAAGCTGGGTGCCCCTAATCCTGGTGGCCGCCTGGCCATCTGGACCTGTCCGCATGGATCCCCCACAGCTTTTCGGAGGGCCACTTGCTGCCTTGACCTCCTGGACCCCCTTGTCTTTCATTCCACCTTCTGGTCGTCAATATTCGACCAGATTTTTCACATGTCATTTTTATTTTTATAAGGGCTGCTCATTTTTTATTATTTTGAACCTTCCCCCCCCCCCAGCTCCACTCTTACAGCTGATCTTGTTCACTGCACAGGGTCCTCAGAAGCACAACCAACTATTCTGACACTCCCGTTAACCTTAACATGTTCCAGATCTACACAATCGAAGGCCTGGCTGTGAGTGATCAATTCAAAAGCAAAGATGGACCCTTCTCCATCTCTGGCTCTCCTCTCCACTGCCACTGGGGGCCGGCTGCTCTCTGCCTTTTCTGGGGCAGACTGTCCCCCTGGGGTTTCTCTCCCCACGTCTTCTGCCCTCCCCAGTCCTTCTTGTGTTCATCCGCTTCCTTTCAGGACCACTTGCCCCCACCCCCTTTTTCCCAGGGAAGGGTGTGGATGCCGGCTCCCAACGTAAGGAGGTCTGGGACCACAGACAACAGCCTCCTTTCATTTCTCCAGGGGGGGATGATTTGCCCTCTGCTTTCTCCCCCACGCCTCCTAAAAGCTGCAGACCATTTGGAAGCAGACGGTGGCAACTTGGCTCAGGGCCAGATGGGCTGCTCCCTCCTGGCCTGGTCTGTCCAGAAGGACTTTCTGGGTGGTAGACTTACCAGGCTGACGTGGAAGAGATGGATTATGAACAGCCCTTTTAATTCGGGCTCAGGCCTAAAGCTGGCCTTGCCCTCAACTGGCCACTCTGTGGGACTCGCCAGAGCTGCCCTTTGGTCTTGGCTCCCCCCCCCCATAGGGCACCTTTCAGGGCAACCATGGTGGGATTTATTAGCCGTGTTCTCCTCTTTGGGGAGGGGGGTGCTGTTTGTATGGAGCAATTTCTAAATCTGGCACCCCACAGGTTCTACCTGCCCTCCAGGCAACTGGGGCTCTCCAAGAAACTGCTGAAGAAGGATATTGAGGCCTCTGGACATTATCAATACATGGATGCCTCCCGGTGGTGTTTCTCTTCTCTCTGGGAGCAGAGAAGAGTGCCCGAGTGCCAGACAGCTGCTTAAGACTCCGTAATGGATGGGATGATGGTTGACAGGCTCAGACTGGACACAGGCACCGAACTCTATTGGGAAGAAGCTCCTTGGACAGGCTGAACTGTGTCCAGCTTGGGATTGCCCTCGTGCTGTGGGAATGAGGGGACTTTTAAGGGAAGCTAAAAAAAGCCAAGGGAAGCCATCCCAGTGCAGGAGAGCTGAAGGCCCTGACAAGATGAGCCAGCTTCATTCCTGCTTTTTTCTCAGGGGAAATTGGGGCACCAACCATTGGGTGGGGTTGTCTGGCCCTCGGTTTCCGTGGCCTGATGGACTTGGGGAGTGGGGCGGAGGGGAGTAGGCATCTGTGGGGCTGCAGGCCCATTAGGAAAACTTGCATTCTGGTCTTAGTAAATTAGAGTCCAATGCTTTCCCAAAAAAATAATCCACTGATCTTTGGGAAGGAGCATTTGCCCTCTCTTTCGTTTCTTGAAAAGGAACTTTCTGAAAACCCGCCTGGCTGGATTCGCAGGTCCCTGGGGCTGGGGGCCCTGCTGATGAAAGAGGCACTTTGAGTCACAGGGTGGAGGGTCCAGGAAGCCACCAGCTCAAACCTGCCCCTGCTGTGCTTTTCAGGGGAGTCCCAGGCTCTTTTTCCTCCTGGCCTATTTGGCAGGACAGAGCAGAAAACCGACCGGCCAGGGGAAGAACTGCAAAGAGTCAGGAGCAAGGTCCTAGGTGGGGGAGGAGGAAATGGGACTACGGAGCCCCTCCTCCCCACTTACCGCAATAGGGGAAGATGAAAGGAGCACCAGCCTGGGGGGCTCCTGGGGCACGGCCTAATCCCGCTCGCCTGCCAGGGCCAGCTCTTTGCCCCACCCAACAGTGGGATGCAGGCCTGGTCCATTTCTGCCCCCAAAGCCTGGGGCTGCCCAACTCCACAGTCCGGAGGCTTCCAGTGACCAGCAGCAGCTGAGCAAAGGGCGGCACAGGGCTGGCCCAACGGAGCGCAGCGGTGACTGGCATCTGCAGGCCGAGGGAAGCGGCCAGGCGGGGACTGGGCCTGCTGCTCCTTTCTGTCTGGGCGCTTCCGTGGATCCTGCGCAGCCCCCTGGATGCGGGGCTCGGAGGCGCCCGGTTCGGGCCAAGCTGCTGGCCGCCAGTCCCCTCCAGGGGGCGCTACCGGTGCCAGCCCTCTCCGCTCTTCGGGAAGCGGGGAGGCAGCCCAGGCCTGCCGGTCCTGGCAGGGACAGCAACGGAGGGAAGTTGGGGAGGGCTCTGCCGTTTGCCCATTCCGGGCACAAGTCGCGTCGGGCACGGTGCTTCTGCAGCTGCCACCGCACTTTGCACGAGCCCCGAAACACGTCGCCCGTCTCCGCTTCCCGCGATGCCAGCAGCCCCGCCCCCTCAAGGTTGCCTGCGCCGGGTTGGCGGAGCTCGAGGCGGCGAGGAGGGGGGGCGGTCGGGGGCGGGGCCTTCCCCTTGCCAGCCTTTCAGGAGGCGGCCAGCCGGCCGGCCGGCGTCACCACCCGAGCTGCCTCCGCCGCCGCCCGTTGCGTCCTGCCGGGCCCCGCCCCGCCGCCCCCGCCCCGCCTCGACCCCGGCNGGTGCAGGCGGCGGTTCGGAGCAGCTCCGCCGCCGCCGCCGCGCAGGTAGCCGCCATCAGCCCTCCCGCCGCCGCCACCGTCTCCGGGCGACCTGCCGAAAGCCCCGGCGGCGGCGACGCCAGCACCCCCGCCGCCCAGCTGGCGGACGCCACGGCCACGCCGGCCTGTGGGGAGAAGCGGCTGCCGCAGGCGCTGATCATCGGGGTGAAGAAGGGGGGCACCCGCGCCCTGCTGGAGGCGCTCCGGGCGCATCCCGACGTCCGCGCCGTGGGCACCGAGCCGCACTTCTTCGACCGCAACTACGGACACGGCCTCGACTGGTACAGGTGAGGCGGCGGGGGGGGGGCTGTCGGGGCGCGCAGGCACCGAGCTCCGCGGCTCCGGGTGCCTCCCTGCCGGGATCGCGGCGCGCGGGGGCTGCTCGGGCCGTTCAAGCGCCGCCGCTTCCTCCGCCCGCAGCAGGAGCCGCGTGGCGCCCCCGCCTTCCCGCAGGTGTGCAAGTTGCCCGCCGGTCTGGACAGCCGCCCGGCCCGGAGGTCGCGAGGCTGCCCGGCTCGCCCGCTTTCGCCCGCGAGCGGCGGCTGGTGGCTCGGGGAGCGCCGCGGAGCGCCGACTCTAGCCCGGCAGCCGCCTCGCGCTCCCCAGGCGCCCGCCCAGGTACCCGGGTGCGGGCTGGAGGCGGCCGGGGGCGCGGGGTGCGGGCGAGAACCGGGGTGCTGGGCGGGGCGGGGGCTGCGGTGGGGCTGGGATCGGCCGCCTGGGAGGGCGCAGCCCCGGGTGGGGAGGACGCGTTTGCTTTCCTGCCCCGAGGAGCCTCTTCGGATCTTAAGGCGCCGTAGAGGGAGCTGCTGTGTGTATGTGTGGGGGGGGGGGGAGCAGGCAAAACTCGAGGCTGTGGAGCCACCCTGGCCGCTTTGGGACAGACTCCCCCCTCCCCCCGCCACTTGATGCCTTTGCCCACCGCTCGGAAATCTTACCCTTTGCAGAGTGGCTGCTGCTTGGCTTCGCGGCGCTCTGTCGCCCGGCTTCAGCCCTGAAGAAAACGCGTGCCTCTTCCCGGATTCCCGGGGGATTCCAGAGCAAGCGGTCTGGGTCGGAAGGTGTCATCTCGGGGGTGGTGGTGGTGGCAGCTGTTGGAAAAGGCTGGCCGGGTCCCATGTGTGCAAAAGGAGCCCGTGGAGGACCCCGGCTGCACAAGGGTCTCTGGCCCTCCCGAAGTTGCATGGGAGAGGAGCCACGGGGGCCCTGAAAGCTGAGGAAGGAGGGGGAATCCCAGGAGACCCTCCTTCCTGGAGGAGGAAGGGGAGGGGGATTGTCTGCATCCTTATGCCTTCTGAAATGAGCAGAGGGTTGGACTAGAAGGCCCCCAAAATCCCCTCCAGATGTTATTCTGCCTGGGGCACTGCTGAGCAGAGGGGCCCAGAGGGGCTACGTAGGGCTGAGCTTTGTTGGGTGGGTGGCCCAGGGCTGCACCCATCGCTCAGTTGCCTGCTCAGTTTCTGGGCATACCTTTCAGCCCTCCTGAGGGGCACCAGGGAAGAAGTCAGAGGTACCCTAAAAACAGGGGCTTCCCCAGGACCAGGCGGGTGACAAGAGGCAGGAAGAATGTCCTTATCTGCATCCTTACACACTTGCTTCAGACAGCTTTGCTGTGCTTGTGTGTGTTTCTGTGTCAATGTTTCTTACCTAGAGCTTTGGGGTGGGAGAGGCGCCCCTTCATTTTCTGATGTGCAGTTTGCATCTACCCACATCCAGCGTGGCCCAGGGACAAGGGCTTCAAGCCAGGAGCTGCCTAGCCTACCCCATGCAGAGACTGGAGGGCCCAATTCTGTTTCCAGACTTTTTTGCCCTGTGCGGGAGCTGCAGCCAGTGGGTGCTGCATGGAGAGGCTGCTGGCCATCCCTGTGACACTCTTTCTGCTTTTGGTGTGGTTTCTGTCTCTCATGTGGCTTAGCCTGACTGCCTTGGCTTCCCTGCAGTGGGGCTCTGTGCTTTTGGTGCACTTGGGACTAGAAGCCAGCCGTGGGCTGGTCCTGTGCCCCCTGGCAAGCCCCCCATTCTTCGACATTGCCCTAGCATGGGGATTCTCCTCTGGTTGTGGTCTTGCTGCCTGGAGTGCTTAACCTTAGCCCAGCCCTGTGATTTGGGGCTGTGACTTTCTGGGGGAGCATTGAGCACCCAGAAGTCGCTTTCTTTATGCAGCTGACCACCCCTTCTCTCCTGGCTTCTGCGAAGTGGGTCAGGAAAGTCCAGGGCATTTCGCATTGAGTGAAGGCTCCAATGTGACTGAGATGACCCGGGATTCTAGGAAAGGGATTGCCAGTGACTCTGTCCAGCCAGTTCAGCAAATTTGGGAGGCCTGGTTCAACTGCTGCCCAGTGTAGGACTCTACAGCTCCAGCCTCTGCCACAGATGGCCATCCAGTGCCAGTGAAGGAGAGCCCGGCCATCCCATCCCAGGGCAGTTGCTTCATTGGTCAACAGCCGGGCCTGTTTCTTGCCTTCCGCCCAGGCAGCTCCCCCTCCCCTGCTTTGGCTAATGCCAGCAAAACGGGTGGCCGAGGGGCCTCTCTGCCATGAGTGGAGGCTTCCTACAAAAGCAGCTCTCTCTCGGCTGGTTTTCTGCTGGCCCTTTGGCTCCAGTTGAATTGCCAGCTCTGTGGTTTCAAAACTCAAGCATTTGTTCCACTCTGACGTTTGCTCTGAGCGGTGTGTCTGTGCGTGGGTGTGCATGCCCAGTTAATGGCTCACACAGCAAGAGGTGACACTGCTCATTCTGGCTTCGCTTCGGCCCTTCGTGGCCTCTTAAGGTTACGTGCTTCGGAAGACGTGGGCACGTAAGCTGCGGTGGGGCTGGGGTGGGCCAAAATCCCTGCAAGATTCCCACAGCTTTGCTACTCAGGCACTGCTTCTCAGCCAAGGGGAGGGTCAGACTTGGCTTTGGAGACCAGCGTGGCTATCCGGGATGTCCGTGGGCTTTGTGCTGCCCCTCGAGACACAGGAGGCAGGATTGCTGTAAAAGGCTGCCTGGAAAGCCGGCAGGGAAAACGTTGGGGAGCCGCCTGGCCCAGAAGCCTTTCGCTGCTGAAAAGGACATGCCCGAGGTGGGGATGCCGAGCAACCTGTTTGGGGAGGGGGCAGGCAGGGCAGCTGGGAGTAACGACCAACCGACTGACCCAGGCTGGGAGAAGAGAGAGAGGGGAGTTGAGGGAGAATGCCTGGCCTGACTGCTGCCCCCTCAACGCAACACACAACCTCCTGAACCACAAATGCATCTAATCACTCTCATCTTGGAATGCTGTGCAGTTGCAACGCTGGGTTTATGACTGGCTTGGCCGAGTGGGTCACATAAGCGCAGCCTTCATTGAAAACTGGGGGCCAGAAAATGGGGAGAGAGACGGGGAGAGCTTTCTCTCGCTCTCAGATCATCCAGAAAAAAATGATTGTCGGAAGGACCCCTCCCTTCGTCCACCCATTTACTCTGCATCGAGTTAAATTCTGGTGCCCACGTCTGCCAGACCTTTCACCAGGAACAGACCACAGATGGGTGCAGCTGAGGGGTGGGTGCTTCCAGGCCACAGGAAAGCAAGCTGTGGCCTCCTTGCTCCTTGTGGCCTCCCCTGGCCACGGGGCTGGCTCCTCTGGCCCAGCTCAGTGGAATTGCCACTTTCTGGGGGTTCTGGTGATTTGGGGGGCTTGACCTAGGCGAGCTCTTGTCACTCCCATCCTTAAAATTGAGCCCTGCCACACCCAGCCGGGTTCTGGAGTTTGTGAGCTTTTACCTCTAGGCTCTGGTGAGGCGATGGGGGTGGTAGCTGCTGCCAACTTCTTGGAACCCCTGGCATTGGCAATAAAGCAGCGCATGGTGGAGGCAGGGGGGGCAGCTTTATTGCCTCGGGTGCTGCACGCAGGTTAGCGTGTTCAGCTCCTCTGCAGTTAAATGAGTTGAGATACATCTGGGTGTCTCCTGACTCGTGCATTGAGTTTTGGAGAGGAAGCGGCAGGATTCAGTGGCAGCCAGCTGCTTCTGGGGCAGACCAGGGGGTCAGTCTGACAAAAGCAGCATTGAACTGCGAGCTCTGCCCCTCTCCTGCGAGTGTCATGCTGTCACACGCAGGGCCTTAACAAAAGATCCTGGGGACGCCGCTGGCAACCTCTTACTTCCTAATTCACCAAGGTGATTCTCTGATTCTCCAGGTGAGGACAGCAGCAGCAGCCGCCGCCATCACCACCATCAAAATTTGCAGCACTTTGAATGTGCCGGAAAGGCATACAAAGTACAAAGAACTAGCCTCACAAAAACGAGGAGCAGCACAAAGAGCGTTTGAGCGATGTCTGCAGGCAAGAGGAAGGCAGAATGCCTGGGCTGCTGTGTGGCTCTGCTCCTCTCCCTAGAGAGGGGTGGAGTTGGCTTCAGAAAGAGGGGGCGGGCGGGGCGGGGGGGGAGAGCAGGAGGTCTGAGATAAGTCCTGTTCACTTGATGTTGGTACTGGGCAAAATCCGGGGACAAATTATTAAGCAGTCAGCATTTGGAAAATAAGGCTATTACTTAGCAGATGTCAGCATGGATTTATCAAGAACAAATCGTGACAAATTATATTTGCTACTGAGAGTTCAGTTGACCACAGGAGAATTGTGGACGTGGTGAGTAAAGAAGTTTCTTGCGGGTTTTTGATACAGAAACTGGCAAAATGTTGCTGGACCCAGAGCTGTCTGAACAATTGTGCCGTCGTGTGGCTCTGTGAGGCTCTGTTTTGGGCCATGGGCTCTTCCACATATTTACAAATGGCCTGGAAGAGGCATTACACAATATTTGCAGCCAACACAAAGGTGGGGGAGTTCCAGTAGAAGAAAAATCTATAGCACAGGGTTGAACTGTGAAGATAGAGAAGAAAATTTCTCAGGACGCAGTCAGCGCTCAGGAGGGTCCTGACAGGCTGCAACAAGAAGGCAAAGCAGGCGGGGGGTGGGGGTGGGGGGGTGTCAACAGGGACAAATGCAGCATCTTTCCAACCCAAGTAGAGAGCAGTGCAGCTGCAGAAGAAAAAAGTGGGTGCAATCTGAGGCACCTTCTGTGTGTCTAAGGCAGGGGTGTCAAACTCCATTTCATTGAGGGCTGTATCAGCATTGCAGTTGCCCTTGGGGGGGGCGGGTGTGTGTGGCCGGGGTGGGTGTGGCCTACTGGGTGGGCGTGGATGGAGTGGGTGTGGCCTACTGGGTGGGCATGGCCAGCTCTACATCATTCGCGTCAAGGGTGCCTGTGGGGGGCTGGGCAGGAGTGGGACAGATCTGAGGGTCTCTGGCAGAAGGGGGTGGGACCGGGGCAA